TTACTAAACTGTGTAAGGATTAAACAGCAGGTACTGTTTAATTAAGTGGACTTGAACAAATCCATAAGGTACAGGGTACCCACAATTAAATCATGTTAGTACAGTACTGAATTACATACTCTTCGCTAATTAGCATCATAAGTATAATTAATGGTTAATGAGAACATAACGTGACTCTAAGAGAGTGCCTGGAGTGGAAGTACAATCTTGAATATACTAAGGTTTCTTTAAAAAAAAAATTTAAAAAAACATAAAATATTTATTATCACACTGTAAGAATTGACTGGTTTCATACAGACAAGTAAGATCATCATATGTGACAAAGACAAGCCAAACCAGTCACTCGTCCCAAATCCTGTTTCGGAGATAATGGCCAAAATACGCTGGAATGTCAACATTTTGGAAATCTATTTTATAGCACTAAACTAACCTTTATATATATATATGTACATCATGCTATGCTGTTATTTTCCTCATTTTCAATGTTAAAACAACAATATTTAACGATTAAATGGTAATGGTTTCTGCCTATTAAGAAATGCCCGAAATCATGAATTTTGAAGGCTGATTTCTCTAATATTCTTCTTTAAACAACTGTATGTTTAAACTCCTGTAACTTCATAACGAAATATCAGATTTAAAATGATTCTTTTACCGTTTTATAGCTCTCATTTTACTTTTTAACCCTGTATCAATAAATAAAAATCAATTTTTGGTAGGAGTGACTGGTTTGGCTTGTCTTTGCCACATTAATTATTATTAATATTTGAAGAACTGCATTAAAGGTGTCTAAATGCACTTTATTACTCTACCCTAAATTTCCAAACATGCTGTATGTACTGCATTAAGGTAGCTTACGTTTAAAGGTTCTAGCTACAGAATTATTTAAATCTTGGTTTAGTGTTTTCGTTATTCTGTTACTGTACTGTTGACTATTCTCTTCTGACATTATGTATTATATAAATGAAACATATTATAATAAATAAAAAATATATTAGGAAAAAATATATTATATAGGAAAGGAGGGCCTTGCTAGACCTAGCTAGTAGAGGCTTTGTCACACAGTCCATCAAAACATCATCAAAATCATATGCCAAAAATGACAATACTGTCCTGTCCTCTTGAATACACAGATATGTCAGTAATAAAACTCTTGGATTATACACCTCAAAATTTGGTTTCTTTATCAACCGGTACTTTTTTCTCCATGGTTTCACCCACTACCCTACCATAGGCAAATCCTAGGCTGTGGTTAGGTCATCACATCACCAAGGACTATGAAATTACATGAGTATAAACGCAATAACGCGGGCGGGCGAGCCTCACTTTTTGTGTAACTTAAAGTGACAGATAAATAAACGAGGCCTAGCGTAACTTAAGATTTCACAGCCAAGCGGTAACATCAAATTACTTAAAATAGAATATTTACCGTTTTTGGTCGTTTCAGAATCGCAGACTTTTCACATAAGCCACAAGGAGTCGGCATTTTAGGTTTTTTTTTAAATCACACTACCTAGGCCTAGCCAACACCACCACGTGTAATTTTTGTTTTGATTGTGAAATTTGTTGACTAAAGGGTTGGCAGGTTATTACTAATTTATCTTTTTTTTTTTTCTTTTTTTTTTTTTAATTTAGACAAAGTAGCAAATGAAAGAGTTTGTTCGCACAAAGAAATAAAAGTAGAGTAACAGGAAATATTATAGTATTAATTTAATCAATCAATAATTTTTACTTCAAATAAATGAAATGAAAAGAAAGAAAAATGCATATGCCTAGGTATATAAAACGCATTCATGTACTGTAGCCATAAAGTTGAACACACAAAATAAGAATACATTCGTTTTTAGGGAGAATATATTGGAATATAATATTTAAAAATCGAAATAATATATTATAATAAATCTTGTTCAACAATCATACTCTGTCATCACCATATGGCCCTGATTGTAGGCCTGCATCAAGACGCGCATGCGTTCAAGGAAATCAAAAGTTTACTGGCCAATCAGCTAAACGTTCGCGTTTACTCAGTCACTGTTTCTAAACAATGAATTGAAAATAAAACGTATCTAATGTGTCGTGGTATGTTTTCAATACTTCTTTCTTTATGCAGTTCGTTGCCAGGGGCAATGATTAATTTGTGTATTTAAACTGTGTCACATACACATAATTTCACTTTAATACTGAAAGTCATTCGGGGAAGTTATTTAAGTGCATAAGAGGCCATCATAATTGTCTGCAATGTCTAAATCTGAGTGTGAAAGTTTTCAAAGTGAAGAAAATATGTTGAAGAGGAAATTATCAACCACCAACAGTGATCTAGACTTTGATCCCGAACCATACAAGGTTCGCAGAAAAACAAGAAACGACTCAATTAATGAAAAGGTTCCAGGAGGAGTATGTGATGATGAAGACATGCACTATTTGAGAATGAAGATAAATAGTCGAGAGAGGAAACGAATGCATGATTTGAACTCAGCCCTCGACAATCTCAGGGAAGTCATGCCGTACGCACATGGTCCGTCGGTCAGAAAACTTTCCAAGATTTCAACTTTGATGCTAGCTAGAAACTATATCCTGATGCTGAATAAAAGTGTAGAAGAACTGAAACAGTTACTTGGCGATGTCTACCAGCAAAAAGAGCAGCAAACAGCTAGACTGCAAAATCAAAGGAACGATCGAGTACTTAACCCAATTCTGCATCCAACCGCACTCCTTGCACCTCCACCAATCCATCTGGTTCGACCGAGTTTGCCACCTCAGAAGTCTCCACTGTCAATCCCAGATTCAAGACTCCCAGTTAAGTTCGACACATCGTTGTTATTATCAACTCGACATCCTCCTGCGACGCATTCGTCATGGTCTACAAGTTCATGTTCATGCTCCAATTGTACGAACCCATTGTCGTTGAGCGCTTTTTCAAAGGTTGGCCTAAAATTGGCCAAAAAATAATAAAATATCGATAGAAACATTTATATATTTATCATACTGCCAGGCTGTTTTTAAAATAATTTAAATAGTGAGTCGAGTATCACTAGATACAAAAGAGGTTCAGTGGAATTATATTTATGACAACGTTCAGTAAGCCTTGATAGAACTCTTCGCACAATAAGGTGATATGAGACGATTTTTATTTAGTCGCGATTGTTTTTGCTTCGTACATTTTCAATAGGGGGCTACTGGTGTGCGAGTTTTTTTTAGGGGGACATGCACCCCACCCACTCACTCCTGGATACACCACTGGACATAATTGAGGATAACCGATTCCCTAACATTTAGTCATCAGTTTAGTATAGAAATTAGACCTAATAATTAAATTATGCTATATACGTTGTGATTGTTTACTGTACGTCTATTGTTATCGCAGACAATACCTATAAATTTTATGAAATGAAAATCAAAATTGTTATATAACTATTTAAGTTGTAAAATATGTAAATATATATATTTTAGTAATGCGTTAGGGCCTACAATAAAGTAATGAAAAATAGTTAACATTGTGTGTCGGTTATTTGTTTGTTCATTCTTAATTGCGTGGTGTGTTGATGTAAACATCGTGCGTGTGTGTATACATGCGTCGTTATGATGCTAATATATCAAATAGGCTACATATGTGAAGATCTAAAATGTTGTTGACCTAATGTCTGTAAATCAGCTAGTTTATAACCTCTTTGATGCATGAGTAAGCTATTCAAAATCGTAAATAGTTTTTTTTCACTGAGGTTTTCTCGATTTTTAGCAGACAGTACATCTTTAACATGAATAGGCCTACTTCAGATCATGGACCTATTTAATAGGTCCATGTTCAGATTAAATTTTTAAAAAAGTGCCTACGTTCGCCATTCCATGTGTGATGTGATTGTTGAGTGAAAATAATGACAATCGTCCCATACAATATAGACATAGCCACACACATTTAAAGTACGTGGGACCAAAGTTTATAGTGCAAACTGGCATCCCATGATATAACCATAAACTAGGCCTACATTCCTTCATGAATGAAACATACCAGCAGATGGTCCGGTTCCAGGCCAGATGGTCGACTTCATTCAGTTTGCGAATGCCAGATTGCAGAGACCACTTTGCCGAATCCCAGTTTGCCGTGTACCAGGTTGCCTAAAGTCAGTTAAAAGCAGTGAAACAATAACAGCAGCATAAAATTAACGATGGAATACTCTGACCATATATGTATATATATATATATATATATATATATATATAGCACATCTTCTAGCTTAGTAGATTTGAAATTGGTGCCTAATATTAAAAAGCCTAAATCAGTGATAGTATGGCTCGGTAAGTTAAAGTGGTGAGCAAAAGGAAAGCTCTTTGATGGTCTTTAACTAATTTTTTTGAAGTCTGGGTTTACATTCGGTTTCGCCTACATAATTGCCGCTATTACATTTAGTACAAAATAGTAGATGAACTACATTATATAGGCGTATATATACCGATACAGGATTATTAGCTCATAAAACCTAAATTTTTGTTTAAACCATTAACATTCGATTTAAGACAGGGGAACCAACGGATCACATGCCTTAGTAGAGTTGAAATTGGTGCCTAAGATTAAAAAGCCTCTGATAGTAGGCTAATGACTCGGTAAAGTGGTGAGCAACATGGAAGCCCTTTTGATGGCCTTTAACTAATTTTTTTGTGGTTGTTAAGTCTGAGTTTATGGGTGGCTCTTATGCTAGCGACTGTTTCAGCCATAATAAGGATCTCCCAGATCCATTTTTCTCTTTTTAATATTTTCAGTACTGTGATACTGTTATAGTTTTTCTGTATTTGCTCTTATTATTTGGATCAAATAAACATGTCTGAGTCTGAGTACATTCGGTTTCGCCTACATAATTATTATTAAATATCACGTTTAGTTCAAAATAGTAGTGTGATGTGCTTTTGTACGGCGGTTCCGATGTATAGAAAAGGATGAGGCCGAATGATATTAATAATTATTGTAATAAAATAATAGTAATAATAAATAATTTTACGTAATTTGAACGATGGTATAATATAACGGTCTTATAATTATTATAAAATAAACATAGATCATAACTCGTTTACAAAGGAGATTAATTTATTTACTTCTATTTTGTTCATCACAAACAATATGCAGTATTAACGTATTGTCTTTATTAATACAATTTTCTTCTCATAGCTCATAGCCTCTCAATTTGCATAATAATAACGGACGCACACACGAAGGTATTGCACTAGATCCTTAATGGAGCCTTGTCCCACGCTCGTCTCCTCCTTGCCATTATGTTTATGAAACCTCAGCATATGGCATGGCGACTGAATGCTTTCTTCTTTCCATGTCATTTGACTGTCGTTTCGAAGTATTCGCTTATTTTATGTGACTCTTTAGAACACTGTCCAATGATAAAACGGTGGAAGAAAAAACTGTTGCGAACTGAGTTTTCTTATTACCATCACACAAAACAATTAAAAAAGTTATAATTATATAAAATATCATTCCAAAACTACCATGTGTTCTTCAATGACAAATACGGAACTGTATTACATAGAATATTCATTATAAATAATACACAGAAAGAAATATGTAAATTTATCTATAACAAACCCACCAAATATACAATAAATATATTCCGTATATCTTTAAAAATGCATACCGGTAATAATACTTTAAGTTATAAAGCTGTTAAATCTAACTACAGTGCACCCTCCAATTCGAGACCAAGTAATTCCGAGACAAATTTCATCCGAGACCACTTTTTTAAAGAAACCAAATAAAAATCTAGAAATATTTTAACACAAATTGAGCTAACCCTCTAATCCGAGGCCGAACCCCACGACCGCCCGAAATTTCAGGCCCAGGGTTGTTTCGAATTAGAGGCGAACTTATTTTCAATTTTGTTTTTCACTTTTCATTATGTTAAAAATATATCTTTCAAACAGTTGAAAGATTTCTGTCTCTTATACACATCTAGATGTGTTAGGATTGTGCTGTACAATGTTTAGATTAGAATCCAACATATAATTTTATGTAAATATTTGGTTAAAAATGCAGAATGAATGAATGAGAATGAACGATTGAATAAATGAATCTGGCGACTGACTGAATGAATGGTGAATGAATAAATGAATGATGAATGAATGAATAAATGAATGAAAGAATGAATGATTGATGAATGAATTAATGCTTTATGTTCAACGAATTAATGAACAGGAATGCTTATGTTTTCATGAGACTTCAATTATAAATTTAGCGGGGATTTCCACACATCTATTCTTTACACCGTACTCAAAACAATAAACACAACAATATTGTACAGTATAAACAATTTAAATCCATTGTTATTAAACTATCAGTACCGACATTGTTTAAAGTAATTTTAACCATTAGAGACCATTAACAAATTTTAGACAATATGGTACTATTTGAAAATCGGTTCCTTTCCTTCCATTTGGCACCAGGTTCAATGTCTCAGTAAAACTCAGTATCTCGTTTCGATTCCCTAATGTATGATTTTAAATCAATATTATGATCACCATTCACAATTTAGAGGTTGTTGCCAGCGAAATAAATTACTTTGGGCCAATAATTCAAAATACATACCAACTAAATAATATCAAGCGTCTAAGCATCTTTCTGCTACAGTATACAATCTAAGACAGGGAGGCGCCAAAAGCCATAAAATACGAATAAACAAATGGACATTAGTTTGCAGTAGTTTGCCCATCATCGTATACACAGAGGCTCGAAAGAAAATATGATTGCCTGGAGCTGAATTATCTGTCTTCTATAGATGACAGCATGTGTCGTCTGTATTCATCAGTGACGTACTAGGTGGTAACTGGACCCCAGTAGATTTATTGTCGGGACGTTTGGTGAAGCTGTCAATGGGCCCCGGTGAGGTCGAGGGGGAAACCTGCCCCTGGGAGTGCAGAGGACAAATCCCCGTGAAACTGAGACGTTTTAGCATTTTACAAGCCTTATTTGATTGATTTTAAAGAATAAAATTCTTAGGCACTGATTCATATTCAGAAAATTCATCATAAGATACTTCTTTACATTTTACTTTGTGCCAAGGTTGTGTTAGGGGCTAACAACTTTGGCTGGTATCCTGTGGTACGCTACCCTTACTGCATTTTTGTGCTACTGATAGGCTTTTAACTGATTTATTCAAAAGAATAAAACAGAAATTATTGCAATAGACTTATTAAATTTAAACTGCTTTATTCAAAAGGGTAAAACATAATTTAAAAAAATTATTTTACTATATGAAAGATTATAATTAAATCTCGTAATACGATATTTCAAAGGGGCCCATGTAGACGGCATTATCACTAAAGAAATAGGTAGAACATTAACGAGCAAAAAAAAAAAAAAAAAAAAAAAAAAAAAAGTGAAAAAACAAAAAAAAAAAGAAGTGAATAAACAGAAAGGTCCAGTGAATAATCTCAGATAAGAAAGTATAATACATACTCCAAACATTGAAATGCGCGCTATCGTTTTGAGATTCAATATTTCGACATCAATTATGTCCTCATCCGGAATAATACCAGTAGTAAATATCGCTTATAAAAACCTAAATATTATTATAAGTTATGCTGATCGTCGTGCAGCTTCGTTTTTTAATTTAATGATAGTAACTTGTTCCTGAAATTTGGTAAGAGTTCAACAATCCCATTCCTTGTAAAAATATTGTAATTTTATTGTCAGATCTTTTTCCCAAATGTGGTTTGGAATTTGACGTTTTAAATCTGAATAAATAAATAAAACTTTAATGCCCAAATACAGGCCAAATGATAGACTGCTTGTTAAAACATGAAAATTTAAGATTATCTTTTATTCTTCATTACACAACCAATTTTATTTTTTCAGCATATATTCTTATAAATGTGGATTCTAATTTGTTGGGGTGAGTGGTGGAATGCGTACAACACCCATCACACCGCCCCATGGGATAAGGGCCTGATGTATAAAACACACAGCCATTAGCCTCGGAAGCGTTTCCATCTATCTCCTACAAATTGTTCTCCTGGTTCACTATGTTATGCTTTTCTTATACCAGTATTTTACTATACTCATACATAACATCATTTATATAGCTCTATTTTGTGAAGATCAGAGTGCTCAAAACGTGGACTACACAGTAGCTCATACAGAAACTGTCTTTGCCCAAAGGGTCTCTTCGTACACTGGGCCTCTGGTTTATAATCCTTATCCGAGAAGACTTGTCCTACCTCCAGAACGACAGACAAGTGTGCCGTTTGAACCAGCACCGATATTATGGCTGTAGGTTGCAGCGTCCCTGACTTAACTGCTTGGCCATTTGGGGGACTAAAACGCAGTACGATTGAACTGAAAACACTATACACTGACAGTGTAGAGACTTGGGAACCAGGCTTTATCTGCCATATTATCATTTTGGAAAGTTTTAACTCTACACTCCACCTCCCTGCATTACTCTCATCCAATCACTGTACAGTTTAAAAATGACTGATCCAATCACATTCTGCATTTTAGTTTATTAATTTTCAACCAATGAAATTGCACATTTATATGGAAGATTATTATTGAAAGAGATTTTGTTTCCCTCTTGCCAAAAAAAGACAAACCTTGTGCATACACTACTTAACTGACTTTTTGTTAAAAATATTTTGTACTCCACTCACACATTTACTACTACAGCAGCAAGAATGGGTGTTATACATAAGTACTGTATAGTAATACACAACGTAACATTACATCGATGGAGAAGCAAAAAGTTGGTTTTTAAACTTTAATGTATTCCAATGGACTATGACATAATTAACATACTGTAATTGCTATAAAGGAAAATTTATCGTACTGATATTAAATTGACACAGCCCGGAATCAATAGTTTTGTCTATACTGTCATAGGCGAATCCAGAATTTTTAAAACGTCAGGTATTTTTTTTTTTTTTCACATTTCAATACATAACATTGATATGCACTGAAATTTTAAAAATTTAGTGTTATAACCAGGGCACATGCCCTCCTGGATCTGCGCCTGACAGTACATATTATCTATTGCACTACGTATGTTACTTTGTACAAGGTTTACAAACTCTTACACACCACATTACTCTACTTTTCTTTAAAATGACCACGTTGGTTATGTCACAATCACTATCCTATAAAACAATTTGTTTGTGATAAATGCATTTAAACAACATTCCATTTATACTAATTCTATGAATCTAGGTAGTCTAGATTTCGTAAAAAATATGCATCTTTATTAATATTCAATTTTCTAAATGAATATTCATGATCATTTGCATTTAATTATGAAAGACACTGTTTGTAGCACACATGTATTAAATATAACATAATGGTTATATAACTTTTAAAATTGCCTGAAGTCCAAAGAAAATGTTCAAATTGTTATAAAATTCTATAAAATTTAGGCACCAATATGAACACATTTTATTATCAATGGCCACATAGTACCCACACTAGCTGTATATGCCACCCACACCTACAAATTATTCTGCACTGGAGCAGAGTTAACTAGCTGACCAAAATGCTTGGGTCCATCTCATAGAAAAAAGTATGCCACTTCACTTCACCTATTAAATTAATATCACAACACAGTATTGGCCTAGTTAGTATAAAAAGTTGTTTAAGCAAACTGCAATTTTTAGCAACAACTTCAGCAGGAAAACACTTTTGGTTAATAAATAATGGAATACTATTTCAGACTATTTTTTTCACAACCTAATTCTTGAATAATAGTGCTAGTAACTATCCATATTAGTACAAAGTAGGCGAACTAAAAGGAATAATTATAAGGCAATTTAAAGAAATGTAGTGGAGCTGAATAGCTTGGTGGTTAATGCTGTTTGCTTGTCTTCCAGTCAAAGGGTTCTGGGTTCAAAAAGACCTGTTAAATAGGGGTTTCTACTTGCTAAAATCAGCTCCACTTATCCTCATCCCTAGGACTTAGAATGCATCATCCCATTATGTAAAGTGGTTACAGTACTTGCTTTTGGATGTGAAATAAATATATAAATAAATAAGTATACATATTTCATAATAATAATTTCAACTAAATAGCTTGGTGCTATCACATTTCATTTATGCATGTAGTTGATTATTTATGAGAAATTTGGCTATAGCAACCCTGCATAGATACACCTACTATAGTGTAAAGGTGGTATTTCAAATTAGTTATAGTCTGGTAGTTTCACGATTCTATCAATTAATTCATAAATAGATAGATCATGCTCCTCAATAAAAATTGTGTTTGATTGTTTTTAGCTCATTTTCTCTTTCACCTCTTCTTTTTGAGACTTTTTACTCTTCGACGTCATGTACTGATTCTGGAAAGAGATCAGCATCCGTCCAATTAAAAGCACACCGATAACAAAGACACCGGTACAACGTCTTAAAGGGTCACCGATGGCCATGTGGGTATGAATAACAAAAGCTGAAATCACAAGGAGCATGACATTTGCAACCATTAACGAGCGTCTGCCAGGCAGGCACAGCATACCCAGGCCGCCTGCAAGTTCTATTCCACCAGCAAATGTACGATAGTCTTTTCCCTTCAGTTTCAAGTTTTTCTCCTTTAGGTATGGTTTCAGAGGGCTAACTTTAGCATACTTGATAAAATGGCTTTTCTGCAGAGGAAAATAAAGGATGTTTTACAATCGTATATTACATTTTTTTTCTTAGATATGAAATAGTAATTATGATAATTGAAAAAAAAAAAAATACACAAATCCTTAAAAGTCAGAATAATGCAGGCCTGTGAGAGTGGTCGAGAAAAAGAGCTTTTGTAAAAAGTCAGGGAAAGAAACTCCCAAAAGCTAGATCAACCTAGAGCAGTGAATTGAATTTTTCATAATTTTTCCATTTCTTATGAATGGGGAGAGTGTCACTGGGTTCAACCATGGAGAAAATAAAATATTTTCTCCATGGTTCAACCATGGTTTAAAAGAAGAGGGTGAGCATGAAAAGGGGATTGGCTAAACCATAAAAACCACTGGTTTTAATATTGTGGGAATCATAAAGCCTTTATCTTATTATTAAACAAATGGCATCTTCTTGCCAGACTGTATAGCAAGGACTGCACAGGAAATATATCCTCCGCGCAAAAATTTGCCCTAGAAATCAGAAGCTGCTTTTAAATCAGCGAATTAGAAAAAAAAGGAATCAGAATATAAATGGATTACTTAGTGATTCTGTCTCGGTTGAATAATTTAAGATCTGTAATTTTCTGTATTAATAATAAACGAGCTAAAAAAACAATATCCATACATTATTACATGATACAGTATCACTCACGACACTAGCCTATATACTATAGTGAAAACGAACCTTTATGCTTTTGGCTAAAGTACAGAGTTAAGGAAGTTGTTAGAGATATACCGCACTACTAGTTTAGTTTAAAGCCATGGAAATATGCACATCTAGGCTAGGCCTAGGCTACGTTGTCGAACAAAGGTTGATCGATCGTAATGCACTAAAATGATGATCCTTTCAAATCTATCTCGCGCACAGATCAACTGCTTACAATGATAGGCCTGGCCGAGCCACAGATAAAACGAGTGAATATTGTACAGAAACAAGATACCAAATATTCTAATACGTTACCAGTGATGAATGTAAGTCTTTGCTAAGTTTTGGCGTCATTTTAGCCACCCCGAAAACGACAAAATAGATGCCGACAGCAATCGACAACAAAGCAACAGCTTTCGATACCATTTTCGCTGACATTCACTTTTTCCGGAAGCTTAAATCCAGGTTTTCTAATGACGTCACCATGTTTCTTATTAATTCATGTTTCTAAATTAAAAATTGTAAGATCTGACAGAAACAAGTACTGTATTACATATTTTATGTTAAAATAATTATCTATTATATATGTAGTTACATTGTTTATTTATGGGGTTAGGGTGGAGGAGGCGCGAATATTATAGTTTAAAGGATTCTTGAGGTATTTTTTTGCTTAGAAAATCTTCATTCAGATCGTAGCCATGGGGCGGCGCGAAATTTTTTTGGGGGTATTCAGGGGCGGATCTGGGTTCAAATTCAGGGGGAGGGGTAAAAATGTTTCCAAAAAACCATAAAAAGAGGGAGGGGTCCGGTGGTCCTCCCCGAATTGATTACTAGATGGCGGGAAATAGGCTTTCCTGACTTCCGAGGAGTTTAATGCCCTACATACAGAAAAAAAAAATTAAGTACGTATTCTTTTTTCCATGAATCGATGAACCCCAAAAAGGATGGTGGGAAATTAGCTTCCCTGACTTCTAATTTTCCCACTGTAAACAAAAAAAGTAGGTCTGCAATTTTTTTTTGTGAATTTTTTTATTTTTTAAAATTTCTCTATATATTTTTGCCGAAGGGTGGAGGGGGGGGGGTCTGGACCCCTGACCCTCCCCCTCAGATCCGCCAATGAGTTTTACTGATATAATTCGAACAGATTTCCCGCCAAAATATAATTAATTCTTAGTTTCACCATGGAGGTAGGTATAACATCTAATTGTTTATGAATATTTTTATATCGCAAATACCTTTTAAATTAAATTTGCTCATTTATTGATTTTTACTCATTTTTCTATTTTTAAATATTTATCTTTCGATTTTTTATCTTTCTGAAGAATTTTATATTGTATGTATTGTGTTTTTCTTGTAAAGGGCCTCCACTCGACAGTGATTGACTTTACTTTTGGAGTGTCCTGTCTCTGTTTTTTGTACTTTTGTGATTGTTCTTTGCCGTTTCTATTTATGTACATTCTAATTGTTTGAGACAAATAAATGAAATGAAATGAATGTATATCTCCATGATTTCACGTCCGGGATTTGAAATAATTTTTTGGTAAGGGTATTTACTACTTGCTATATACTATCCTCTATATTAGTGGTAAACGGGCTAGGCAAAATAAAGTTTTTTTAATAAGAAATAAAATGTATATCAGTACGGTATTCTGCCATTTATATTTCCACGTTCTTAGGCTTTGGCAACATCTTCAGGACATCATTATTTTCATTTTGCATGGAAAAATTATTATTATTTATTTTTAATAGTAAAATTTTTTTTCTGAGGCTCCAAAATTTGATAAGCATGGGGACGTGAAACTAAATTTATTTTGTTTGCCTTTATTGTATCAGAATGTTTACTGCGTTCATAAGTTGACTAATGTTGACGCGAGTTGATGTGCGTTAAACGGTAATACACATGGCCGCACACACGATTTCGATTGATAAAATTGGACTTCAACAAGTTTTGTTACACTGTCCGTCTTCCTAATCATGTCCGGTGTGTAAATGTGATTTTTTTTTGTTTAAAAGGTATATTTGATTGAAGATGGCATCGGTTGAAATCCCGTTGAAAGATACTGATGAAGTAAGCATTTCAATTTTTTTTTTAATCGAATTTAGTTAGGCCTAGCTAGGGGCCTAGCCTAAACCTAGGGCTAGGTTAGGTTAACCAAGCCTACGGACACGACGACTCACGAGTAAGTAAGCAACAAGGTTGCTCGGGGCTCGTCCAGGAGGCTCAGCTTGCGATCCTGTTCTAGGTATTAACAAACACCATGGTCTAGCCTAAGCCTATCTGCACCATTAATGATAACCAAGTGTACAGTATTACTAGCTAGGCTATTATTAATTCATGTCATTATTGTCGATATTAATGTTTTGTATGCTTCTCTTTTTCGCCTCTCTTTTTTTAGGTGATAGAGTTGGACCTCGACCAGCTTCCTGATGGTGAGGAGGTGTTGAGTATTCTAAAGCAGGAAAATGCACCTCTACATACATGGATCACACTTGGGGTGAGCGTGAGATAATAAATAACTTATCTAGCCTAGGCCCATTTCTTAAAAAGCTGGAATATTGATTGCGGTTTTAGTATTTTTGGTTTTGTGGTGGTTTTGTGGTACTGTTTGGTTTATTGATGTTTTTGTTTTGTTTGACTTTCACTTGATTTGTTCAAGAATTAATTTATTAATTTTCAATTAAATTGAGAACAATTAACAGAAGAATTATATGTATAAATATATATTGAAGTTGATAACTATTATTTTAAATGAGCAATTAACCATTTGAATTGCATTTTAAATAGATTTCAGGTTATACAATGAATGGGGAATATCTTTGTTGTAATCATACTATGTTGAGATTGTAATTATTATTTTTTGACCTCCTAGCTGGAATACTACAAGCAAGGCAAGGTGGATGATTTCGTCAAAATCTTTGAATCATGGCAGAATGATGCCAACTGCAATTATTCTGGTGGCGATAAAGACCAGATGACTGCGTTGGACACACTTGCAGCTTACTATGTGCAACAAGCACGCAAAGAGAAGAACAAAGAAAGGAAAAAGGACCTGTTTACTCAAGCAACCCTTCTCTACACCATGGCAGATAAAATTATTATGTACGACCAGGTCAGTTCAACTATTATTTTTTTTCGGTATATATCCTTTTCGCTAAATTTGAAATGAAAATTTCTGAAAACCTGGCAACTGCCACTGGGGGACATCCAGAGTTCTAGGCATTTCACTTTATGTATTTACCAGTGTTTATCTGTGCTGCTGTGACCAGTGATTGACCTTCTTGATGTGAGTTAGCCTAGGCCTAGTAAATAGGGGCGCATAAAACAGCAGTGTTTTTGGTTGTAGAATTACTCAAAAGAACATGTGTCTGGAAAAAAAATATTTGTGAACAATAAGGTGCTCTGGCTGGAAGGATGTCCATCAGTGAAAAGTTGCGAGACGTTTGTGGTGTTGTTTTAAAATAGACCTATTAAAATGGTGTATAAACACAAAAGATTAAAAAAAAAAGGATTGTATTATGTAATACAATATCATTATTTTATCATAATTTCATCATTTTATTAAAGAACCATTTGCTAGGGAGAGCGTGCTTTTTTCTGCTCGAAGGTGATAAAATGGACCAAGCCGACGCCCAATTCAACTTTGTACTGAATCAAGACGCTTCAAATATCCCCGCACTCCTTGGTATGTATTTTAAATGAAACTACAGTATGATAACATTTGTAGTTACTACATTTGTAAATTGCTATCCAATTTGTAGCCAATGTAAAGTATTCCTAAGATGTTTATTTACTTGTCTTTCTCTGTTTCTGTTCCCATCCTTATTCCTGTTATGACTCTATTTCTTTGAAACATACTTTCTTGATATTTTTACCAATATTTTGCTGTATTTTTATACAAACTGTACAGAAAATTAAGTCTGCTTATTAATTCTAATACCTCTTACTTACTCTCTGTCTAATTATACAGTCATTCTGTATTCTTCTATAACAACAGAGTTTTTCCTCTATTTTATTTTCCTCCCCTCTTCCTATACTTGAAATCAATGCTTCATGAGGTACTAGTCCTTGATTAGTATTTATGTTCTGTATGCTGCTTTTTCTTGCCCAATTCTTGTATTTACTAATAATTATGTCAACTTACAATATAATTTGAATAATTGTTTACATCTTGTTTCAGGTAAAGCTTGTATCTCCTTTAACAGGAAGGACTACAGAGGCGCATTGGCCTATTATAAGAAAGCACTCAGGACCAATCCTAACTGCCCAGGTAAACTTATCAGTGGAAGCAATCATTTTTTAACAGGACAGTCAAATAAACAGTGGCCTGAAAATCAGACAATGTGTATTACTTAACATACTTTTGTCCATCAGTAACAGAATGTTGTGTGTTTTATTTCAGCTGCTGTTAGGCTAGGCATGGGACATTGCTTCATGAAACTTGGAAAGTTCGAGAAGGCAAGGTTAGCGTTTGAGCGAGCCATGGCACTTGATCCAAAAAGTGTTGGAACTATAGTAGGCCTAGCTGTGCTAGAGCTGAACAGCAAAGAACCAGATTCCATTAAGAATGGCGTACAACTTCTCTCGAAGGCATACACCATTGATTCTGGAAACCCCATGGTTCTGAATCATTTGGCTAATCATTTTTTCTTTAAAAAGGTAGTTTTTTAATGTACTTCAATAATTCACTTCATTGATTATTTATTTTTTGTTTGCTTCAAGCTCTGTACTTCAATTTCCAGCCCTCCAGTAGAGGTATCACATTTCTCAGCATTTTTTTAAAATTTTCAAAACATTATTTGTTTGAAGTTACTTACATGTAATTATTTTGCTTGTGTTTGAATCTTTGTCCACACTACTGAGATATGTTACAGATGCATGTTCTTTGCTCAAATGTGGATATTATATGACCTCATCATGACCTCATCATGCCCATATATGGATGTAATTACAGATATTTGTCTAAAAATCTTGATAGTGTCAACAAACCGTAAAAGAAGTTTTAGTCTAGTAATTGACATCCAACATTTGATTTTGGGAACAGTGGGTATTTTAACAGCTAAATTATAGTTTATTATTTTCTGTCTTAAAGGACTACAGCAAAGTGCAGCATCTTGCACTGCACGCATTCCATGGGACTGAGAATGAATCGATCCAGGCGGAAAGCTGCTACCAGTTGGCAAGGTCATTCCATGTTCAGGTAATGTGTTACTACAGTGTAAAGACAACATCTCCATGGTATCTTCGGTTACTGGGTGGTGATGTGCCCTATGAACTATCCTGGACACTAAAGCCCCTCTCCCACCTAGGTTTATTTCAGCTAAGAGTCGTACGATTTCTACGAGTTAAAACTCGTGATCTTTGGAAAGGACTTATATGAGCTTATTACGTGTTAGCTACGAGTGAGGTACGACTTTATGGAGTTGGTTACGAGTTATGTAGGAATTATGCCGAGCAGAGCACCGAGTTAACTACGAGATTATTACG